GTATGACCCCGGCACCTGTTCCTGCTGAGGGCAGGGGATCAGACCTGATGATCTGTTTATGTCCCTTCTGACCCTAAGTACTATGATACTATGGTGGTGAGGAAGGGAGGGAGTGAGGCTGGGATTATGAAATGAGCTGGGGAGGGGGAGTGTGGGGAGGCTGATGGATCTCTGCAGGTGGGGAAGGGGGTTGTCACATTGTGCGGGAATTGAGGGGCTAAAAGTATCCCAGTAAGGGTTGGGAGGGGAGTAGAAATAGTGCATCCCAAGGGCTGGGGTGAGCAGCTGGGCTTTCCCAGCCCCAGGGCTGTGCTGTGAATATGTCCATGTGTTCCTGAGATCAAGTTAATCCTGTCCAAGTTCAGGTTAACCCAATTTCAATCTAAGTTAGTGCACCTTCTTTTCTGAAATAATTTAAATTAGGCATGCCATCTTTGGGGCTATTTAAACCCTCTGAATGCCTGCACATTTAGGCATTTCCATCAACCTAATCCTGGTTACTTCAATATATAGATAATGTCTGTACATACCCTATACTTTAAAGTAGCCTCTCTCAAAGGCTGTGTCCTTGGAGAACACTGTCACATGGTACAGGTTAGATTAGCACACAGTCAAAGAATGGAATAATTTCATGGAAACATCACCTCTATTTTCCAAAATGGAAACTGAGAACAGCAGATAATTTGATCTGATATAAACATTGATTATAATCCATGTTGTAACACCAAATTTTCTTCCTGATCATATTTAAAATAGTTCTGCTATTTATGTACTTATATGCAAATGATCCATTGTAATATTTTTAAAATTTCACAAGAATAAAATTTAGATCTTACATCAAATGACATATACTATTCAGAAGAAAGACTGGCTAGTTGCAAGGCAGGAAATACTGCTAGCTATGCAGTTGCACAATAAGAAGCCTCCAAGAATGTGGAACATTCATAGCAACAAATTCCTCTACCCTGTCACTTCACAACTGCTGATCTATGGATTCATCAGACCCTATCAATTCCATTGCAAAATTTCTTAGTTAAAACACCATAAAGCTGGAAGAACTATGCCTGTGAGTTCAGTAAGGCAAAACTGATTCTTTCTGCCTTCAAGACTGTTATCGAGACCTATTTGTTATCTTTGAAGTCTGCAAGATAACTGTTGCTGAATTTCTCCAAAAGGGATTTTCCCTCTAGTATCATTTAAAATAATGATCTTTTCCCATATTTCTGTTGTCCAACCAACTTTAGAAAGAGTTACTTCACATTTTATGATTTCTAAATATCATTTTTTGAACTCTCAGGGCTTGAAAATATGACAGTCAACACTGAGCAGGAACTTAAACTACCCTAGAAAACCCAGTGAAGCAACTCATTGTCAATATATAATATTCCCCCAGCTACTGCTGTATGGTTCTTGCCACAGACATAGTTTGCAGCTTATTGCACTGGAAGGTAGCAGTCACTTTTTGTCTAAGATGATTCTTTCCCCCTAAATTTTGAGCTGAATTTAATACCCATGAACAATGCCAGATTTACAGCACTAAATCTGAAGAACTAAAATGTTGTTTTACCAGGGAGTGGCACCGTCTATGTCAAGGTTAATTACAGCCCTTCCTGCTGGGGTTTTACAAGAAAGTAGGCCACCAAGAAGTGTCATTATATTACAGCCTGTGGCTCTGTGCATGTGTTCCTAGCAGACAGTCAAGAGAAGTTCCTTTGAATTCTTGACTCTGAGTCTCAATAGAAAAAGCAGACAGCTCATTTAGCATAAAAGGATGAGATAGGCTACTGTGTGCTGTTGCTGGAAAGGAAGGGATGCACAGGGTATGAAAAGATCAGCTCCAAGCTGCAGCATCATAGTGCAGCTTCTGGCAGGTTTTGATGCTTCCATTTTATTCACCTAGAAATACAGCCAATGAAGACTGTACAGTGGTACTGATATCTTTGCTCTCTCTCTATCTCCAAAGTTTATTACTATGGATTAACAGTGGCACCTCTTTACTGGAGATTACTATGGAAAGAGTGCTACTGTAGATGGCTGGACAACTCAGTAGGCTTGTCCAATCAAATTAGAAAAGGCTGATATAACATAGTTATTATAATACTGGTAACTGATGATTTCTCATCTATGCCAGTGCTTCTTAGCCTCTTGTCTTCATTCATGCTTATGCCCTGAGTCTCAGCCTGAGTGAACACCAAAAATACCAGTCTGATATGGAAAATCATTTATTATTAATGAAATAGTGCAAGTCAGTAATAAAGCCCATCAGGGACTATGCAGAAATGCATAGGATAAATGTTCCAGGAGTAATTATACTTTTGAAAATGTTGAAATAATTTAGATACCCAATAGACTTAGGCACTTCAAACATTTTTACCCACTGCTCTACCATATTTACTTCCATACTACTTACACCTTTCCCCCCACCAAACCAGACCTTTATATAATTGTGGTGTGCATCTAAAGCAGGGAAGATTAATTCTGCACTAGACTTGAAGCACTGTGATGCTATAATAAGTCTGGAATGAGATCCAATTCTCTCCCAGCCCAGTGGAATGCACTCTTCAAGGTCACGGTTAATTTTAACCTGGTCCCCAAAAGCTGCTGTCAATTTGGCAATGGTTCTGACAGGGTTAGAGCTATGATTCTGAATCTATATCTACAAAGCAAGTAACTTTACCCTTCCTGTATCAGCTAGTATTCAACCACTTCAAACCACTCGCTGCAGCAACTTAAGATTCTGATAAAATAATTTCCTCTTCCTTCTGCCTTCCCAAAACAAGCTGCATATCATATCTGGCAGCATGTGTTATGCAAGAAAAAAAAGTGTTCCATAAAACTTTCCAGACTATAACAAATATGGAATTCCAAGGTCAAAACAATTCTGACATACTAGATTTGCCCTCCTACTCACCTCACTTTCTTGCAATACAGCAGCAACTGCTTATCAACAATATTTTCCCTGGGAACATTTTTCCTATCATGTCAATACTTTCAGATGATACTCCCTATAACAGCAACAGTTGTTTAGAAGCTACAAATCATTAAAGACATGGACACATTGCTATTAGTGGGCATCAAATGTAGTACAGCTGATAAATAATCCAACTGTCCCCAATTTTTCTGAAATAGACTCCTTTTTCTGTTAACTAAACTGTTTGGTAAAGGCAGCTAAGTAAAAGGGGACCAAAGCTTGAGTTTCTTGTAACCTTAACTTTGTAGAGACTGACATTTCTCCAGTTCTTTTTTTTTTAAAGGCCCCTGAAAGAATCATAGGCACTCAAAATCCACCTAAACATTCAAGTCAGGATTTTAAGCAATTTACTTTGTACCTTTCATACCATACACAAATGGAAAATTCAGAGATACAAAAAGGGGAATTCTGTATGATTCAAAACAATTATGGAGAAAGTACTGCTCCTATTTTAAAATAATAATAATTAGAATAAAGTAGATAATAGAAGACCTAAAATCCTTGATCTTATGAGATTCTCAAATTTTGTTTACCATCTTTCATACTGACTCATTATCTTACTTTTGTCATGTAGCCAAATCATCCTCATACAAATTTGCAAGACCAGTTAGTATGCAACTGATTTACCCTCTTCTCCCCACAAACCAGGCAATGTTAAAATACATTGCAAAATATAACTTTTTCAAGAAATGCTAAAACTTGATGCAATTCAAAACCCACTTTTGGAAACTTATCTAAAACTAGTAACACATTCAAGAAAAAATCTTGAATTATTTATTATGTGCAAAATTTCAAAATAAAAAGATACTGAAAATACAAAGTACCTCAGTTACTCATAAATATAAGAGTATAAGAAACAGAAAGACTATTTCATGTTTGCACTAAACACTAAACAGTGGAAATTGAGGTTCACTTGCCAGTTCAAAACCCACATACAGAATCCCAGCCACATGAGGATTTGCCATAACTCTCCGTTTAATTTACAGGAAAAAACCAAGCATATCTTACCTTCATAAATAGCTTTGAAACCTTGAGCACTAACAGCAAAATCTGTAGTAAAACAAAGGGTGAGGATAGACCCTGTGCTCACAATAGATGAAGGCAGCTGAAATCCAGACAACCTGCAGAATAAAAAAAAAACATAAATAATAAAATAAATATAACGTGTAGTGTGGGGTAATCATAGACATCAAAAGTATACAATGTGTGTACCATGTCAAATGGTAAGCTGCAGAATATCAAATGAAACAGCCATCTATCTGAAAGGCTATCATTTTACATTTTTCCATTCCTGTACTATCTCCAAACACTCCTTGCATGTACCAATATATAACATGATGATTTGGCTAGACCTTGTTTGACCCTCAGATTCTTAAACATACAAGGGTAGAAAAATAAATTCTACTTACAGCTTTTTCAAGATTAAGAATTTTACATCCCTCCCTCCCTTTTCCCCCACATCTTCAAACAGATTTTGTATCTTTCCCAAATGATTCTCTGTTCTCACCTCCATACCTTGAAAAATTCATTAATCCCCCTGGCCATATTCACTTTATGTTGTCCATATTGTTCCCTACATTAAAGACTATAGTTATGCCACTGTGGTTAGAGAGAAGGCCTTAGGCTAAAGGAAGAAAATGATTGTAAATTTATTTTCTGTGGTTGTCTGGTGAGCAGAAAGACTAAAATGCAGCAAAATCTTCAAATGGATTGGGAGTTCCTTCTTACATAAACTCTAGATTATGATACAGAAAATGACAACACTGAACTCCAAACCCCCGAGACAGTGAGCAGTAGCAGGCATAGACTCTAAGGGTGCCTGTACACAAGCAGCAAAGCTGCTCTGACATGCTCGATTAATCAAGTCTGTTGGAGCATGGTAGTTACCATGCTCCAGCAGACTCCCATGTCACATGTGTCAGTGTACACTTGCTAAAAAATAGTGGCAGTGTTGCTTTAACTAAAGTTTGTTTGATGAGGTTTAGTTAAAGCACCCCCACTGCCATTTTTCAGCATGGGGACGCTGATACACGACACTCCTGGCACTTTAATTAGAGTTGCTCTTGGAACTGCTCTAATTAAAGCCCACCACCACCCTGCAGAGCACATGTACAAATGTCCTAAAACACTGACAGTAGGACATGATAATGATTAGTAGATTCTTCCCTTTTTGTTCTCTAAATATTTCAAGGTGACAGGTATACTTTTGCCCTTAAATGTTCTCGGAGAAGGATAATATATTATTTTGTTGACACTGGCTGAATTTCATATTTTCCTGTGGCATACCCACGGACTCCATCTTGTCACCTTTCCTGTTCAATGTGTATATAAGGTCAATGGGTCAGATTGTCAAGAGATTTAGAGAAAGGTGCCATCAATATGCAGATGACATCAGCTCTACCTCTTCTTCTACTCTGGAACCCAGCCCTTCAATCTCAGTCCTAGTGCCTTTCTGCAACTAGGGACTGGATGTGGATGAACCAATTAAAACTGAATCTACATAGAATAGGAATGATGATGGTGGGTAGATGGTGGGTTGTACTGAGCCACCTATCATAGATTGGGTTCAGCCTCCCCTTGTCACTCAGGTTCACAACTTAGAGGGGTTCCTAGATCTTCAAGTGGTGGTTGTGGCTAGGAACGCTTTTCATCAACTCCATCTGGTGAGAAAGTTCTTTCAGAATCTGATCTGGTCACTATCATTCATGCCTTCATAACCTCAAGGCTAGACTACTGCAATCCACTCTACACAAAGCTGCCCTTGAAAACCATCCAAAAGTTGCAATTGGTACAGAATGTGGTAGCTAGCCTTCTGACGGGGCTGGGTCACCAGAAAGCACATAACTCTAGTGCTTCAGCATCTGCACTAGCTCCCACTAGCTTTCCAGGTGCAATTCAAGGTGCTAGTTTTGACCTTCCAGGCCCTAAACGGCCTGGGCCAAACATGCCTAAGGGACCCTGAGATGCTGTTTACTGGGTTTAATGCATTTTGCTTTGTTTTGTTTTGGGGTTTTGTTTTTTTTTACTTAAATTGCTTTTCTTGTTTTCACATTTTTTTTCATTGTTCTGTTTCTCTTACTGTAAGCCCTCCTGATACTTTTTTGGGAAAAGTGACATGCAAACTGCATACATACATGTATACTTGCATTTTTTTAGCCAGTTGCACAATATTGACCACCCAGTAATCCAGTATCAGCCTGCTGATTCCCCCCTCGTCTCTCCCACTTTCAAACAGTTTTAAATAGAACGTCCCATTATGTCTAGCTGAAATCAGATGTCTAGTCATCTGTTAAGATAATTTATCTACCTAGATTTTAGTGAGTTCTTTTGTTCATTGGTCTAGACATCTGGTTCTGTAGTACTGATCCAATTGCTAATGCTTAATAAATAGACACTAACAACTTTAAAGTGATTGTTCAGTGGAATAATTCTGACTTATTAATAAAGTTAAAGGAATTAAATATCTTGTTATAACCTCTATCAACAGTGAAATCAATGTTCTGAAGTTCCTGAATATGACCTATTTCTCCCTACAACAGTGGGTCTCAACCTTTTTTTTTTCCTGCAAACCAACATGGGAGTGGGATGGGGGACATGGAACCAGCTGCCTCCTTCCTGGGGCTGTCCCACCCCCCAGCTTTAACCTGGCATGTGCCTGCTGTCTGTGGAAGCTGCTCACCTAAGCAGACAGACAGGGATCCAAGTGGGGGGCTCGTGCCATGACCCGGCAGCCAACCCTTCGTGGCCTGGTACCAGGCAGTGGCCTGGTGGTTGGGAACTTCTTTTATACAGTAACATGCCAAAACATTAATAAGACAGGTATGGGAACAAAAATGTTAGAGATAGAAGTTTTAAAATCCCTTAATATATAGGGAAAGTGGCTCTATGAAATAGTGCTGGATATACTTCTTCTTGTCATTTTGAAAGAGACAATTTGATGAAAATACTGTGAAATACTAATCTTTCCCTTCAGTGAAAACGGTTTTAAAAGGTTGAATTTTAGCTCTAGCCCGTAAAAATATTGTTTGTCTAGACCTTTGAATACCTTACTGGCCAAATCCAGTACTTCTTAAAATGTTAAAAAGTAACATTCATGGGAAAAGTCACATTAGCCCCATAAAAGAATAAAACAAGTCAAGCTGACCTAATGGCTTCACAGCACATAAGAGGTCTAAATATGAGAGCAAGAAATTCATCTTTAGTGAGCAATTTAGAAATTGCAGATTATGTAAATGACATAATGAGGCTTAACCATTCCTCAGATACCTTATGATGAGAGAATTACATTTTAATAGATTTCAAAGAAGGAGAAAAATCTCCTCTTATATTTCAGCCACCTTGTACCCTCACCAAAGGTGGAGGATGTGGGTACATCTTGGAAGAAAAGATATGCATAGTTCTGCATATGCACCCCATACTGTATATAATCTATGAATCCTAGCAGAAGACTGTTGCAAGGTTTGGAAAAGAAGAATGTTGTATTCCTGCTACTCAATGAACTTCTGGGAGAAAAATGCTTTTAAAGACATTTAAAAAGAAAACTGCAATGGAAACACTCAAATATTCTTACAAAGGTGGCAAGATTTAAATACATAGCTAAAAAGAACAGATATGTTCAGCGCATCCTCTTAAAATAGTTACTTTCTTACAAGTTAAAGAGGCTAAATAAATACTAGCCTTTATAGCAAAGTAAACTCAAGCTGTAACTAAGAGTTGCATGTGACGAGTACCATTTAAAACCAAGAGCCCCTCAAAAGTTGTGGTCCTTTTGAGTTGGCCTGCTCATTAGGTAGTATAGTTTAAATACTATTCTGTATCAATTACAAAGTTTGAAATCCTAAATAATTACTGAATTTAGTGGATTTACTGCAACTTTCCATATTATTCATCCCAGCTCTGTTTATGGAATGTTAGAAACAAAAGCTAGCTGGGAAGCTCTGTCTCCATGCTTAAATGCCTCTATAGCCAAGAAAATAAATATGATTAAAGTTACAAGCAATATGTTGGATAAAACATTCTTCACAACTGGATAAATGTATATGAAACATATATTTTATTTATCTTTAATGAAATACCTACACCCTTCATGATTTAATGAATCATCATGATTTAACATAAGCATGCCTTATTTTACTGTATTCCAAAAGAGAGACCTAACAGTTATATTTGTGACATCAAATTATACTAAAAACCATATTCATTTGTAATTGGTCCCACTACTTTTAAAACTAAAGCAATTTAAGCATGGATAATGAATATAGGTCCATAAATCCTTATTTATTTATTTATTTAAATCATGGGAATATTTAGAAGCACTGTGTGGAGGAAAATAATGAGACCTTGTTTTAAAAAGGAAAAAGAAAGCAACCCACCCCCCAGCAAAAAAACAACTAAACAAAAAAACCCTATAATACTATGATGCTTTAATGCTTTTTAACATACGTAGAAGAAATGGTTTTTCTAAGCTAAACTGACCTGAGTTGTAATAAACATTTTACAGGACTTTTTCTCTTTGACCAATTCAAATTCATGATGCTTTACGACCTTCATACTAGTAAATATGGTTTGACTAAATCTAAGTGGAATGAAAAAATGCCACCTAAATTCTATTAAGTAATGCTGAGAAAGGGGAAAACAGATGACTTGTTCTCTACAATAGGGAAGATATAGAAGTAGAGGAGAACAGAGACTTGGGAAACTTTAAGAAAGGATAATTGATATGTAAAAATTATTGTATGTTTTCTCTGTCCTCTCATGAAAATATATACACAAAAGTGCAAGCATACACACATCCAATTATTAAACGAATATTAAAAAATGGAATCAGAACTCTTACCCTCCCTATGCAGGTAGTCTATTCTCAGGGACTCTGAAAATAAAACACATTCTCTACCCCTCACCTTCATCCGAAAGAACCTTGCTTCTCAGATATACAGAAATGAGGGAGAAAAAAGCAAACAATCCCAGGACACCAAAGAACGCTACAAATATCAAAAAATCAGACACTGGTAACAAGAAAGAGAGGCAGAATTTTTGTTCAAGGCAGAGGTCTCTAACCTTTTTAAGTAGGAGATCACCTTTGACATTTAAAAGGAACCCAAGATCTACTGTACGTCACTGC